GTGTTTTTGGACTGCAACTCCCAGAAGCCTTCACCACCAGCTGTGCTGGCTGCAGTTTCTGGGAGTTGCAGTTCAAAAACACCTGATTAACCCAAGGTTAAGAACCACTGGTCTACAGAGCTGGTCTTACCATTAGGCCTAAGACACACTGACCACATCCCTGCTGCTAATCCCTGTTAGAATAGACCCGTGGACATAGTGGGAATTGGCTAAGTATTGATAATCAGTGAATTCATTAGGTCCGTTCTCTGTTTTAGACCAGCAAGAGTAAACTGGCCACTAGCTGTTATATACATATGAGGTCAATTTGCTAGGAAGTTGTGCAGCTGTCCATGGAGGTCTCCCTGCTGAAATATATCTCCGTTGCTTTAAAGATAGCAACACCTGTGTTGGCCAGTGGAACAAAGTACAGAGGTTTCCTATAATCTTGGCCTTACAGAACAAGACCCCTAAATGTATTGTGGTAGAAAAAGTCCAGCCAAAAGTTTAGGTTCTGCATCTGAAAAAAGGAAAATGTCGTACGAATTCTCAAATAAAATAAATAAATAAATAAACAAACAAACTCCTGTTCCTCTGAAGATGCCGGCCACAGAGACTGGCGAAATGTCAGGAAGGACCACCTTCAGAACACGGCCAAACAGCCCAGAAAACCCACAACAACCACCGGATCCCGGCCGTGAAAGCCTTCAAGAATATATATATAAAGAGGAAATGGGACTTATCTGTTTTTAGTAGAAGCTAGCTCAGTGAGTTAGCTATCTGGTGGCAGAGCCAGAGGTTGGGAATTGAGTTGCCGTGGTGCCTAGTTTGCATGGCCCTGGGCAAGCTGCACTGTGCCAGGATGCCCTCAGAAGAAGGGAATGGTAAACCACTTCTGCATTGCCTGAGAAGGGTTGCCATGTCAAAATTCACTTGACAGCAATTTTTGGTAGCAAGGTGGAAATTGTGTTAGGATTTTCAGTCAAATCCTGTGCTTGTCTTTGTACATTTTGATGACTGAAAAAAAATGGAAAGGAATCTGTCCCGTTTATTTTTGTGAACTCCCACGTTTCCAAATATATAACATGAAACGAATCCCTTGGTGACCAGAATCAGCAATCTAACTTTTGGTTAAGCATCCTTATTCATTTGGTGTCTCACTGTGGTTTCTTTCATTCATGAACAAGAAACATGTTTGGAGATTTTCACTGGCACAAGGAAAGGGAAGGGAAGGGAAGGGAAGCAAGGAAGCAA